CTGCTGGAACTCAAAATCTGCAATTTTCTGAACTCTCAAATGATAAGATTGACCACCCGAAACTCACCCGAGGCCCTCGGGACCTCAACCAAAGGCACCAAGACATCCTAAAACCTTATTCAAACTTTTTTCAATAATCAAACACCTCAAAGAACATCAAATCACCCAAAACACATCGGATTCAAGCCTAAATATCTAAAATCTTCCGAAATACGCTTTTGATCAAAAACCCAACCAAACCACGTCCGAATGACCTGAAATTTTGTGCACACATCCCAAATCACATAACGAAGCTACTGCAACTCTTGGAATTCCATTCCGATCCTTATATCAAAATCTCGCCTACCCACCGGAAATCGCCAAAATATCAACTTCGCCTATTCAAGCCTAAATCTACTCCGGACCTCCAAAACCCATTCCGATCACACTGCTAAGTCATAAATCACCTCCCGAAGCTAACTGAACCATCGGAGAACTCACATCCGAGCCCTCTAACACATAAGTCAACATCCGATTGACTTTTCCAACTTAAGCCTTCCTTAAAGAGACTAAGTTTCTCAAACTTCACCAAAAACAATCCGAATTCAATCCGACCAACCCGATACCACAAACACGGGTAACGAAGCATAAAGAAGGAGAAATGGGGGAAAACGGAGAGGTAACCCAAGAGACGACTGGCCGGGTCGTCACATGGGCTCACCTAATAGAACTTTATGCAGTTGTGTGTAACTAACCTTGTAAATCATCAGTTTTTCTTAATAAACCGTTGAATATTCAAAATTACTCGTTTCTTAATCATAAATCATTAAGTTGAGAGTATTTTATGTTCATAATTAAAATAAAAATTATTGCATGTTATCCACTAACTCTACTGTGATAGTATATTTTACATAAATCTTTCATTTAAAAGTATTTATTTATTAACTGTTGTTATGTCTTTATTATATTAGTCCATAATTTTTCTATAATTATTTTCCTAAATATTTTTTTTACATTTACGAGATAAAATACTTATAAATTTAATAGCTCAGTATTAGCTAGTAACTATTTACAAATAATTAGTTATCATGATATAGTATGGTGAATTATGTGTCACTTTATTAACTTGTTGAAACTTAAAAATAAATTATACTAGAGAATCATATTTAAATTGTGAATTATATTTTTATATAAATTCTCTTTCAAATAGAAAGCATATTAAATAAAAGGAGTATTTAAAAATAATATCAAATTATAATATCGAAATTTTTTCAAGATTCATTACTCGTTAAGAGATACATATAAGATTTCGCATCGAATAAATTACTTTCGATATTTGAGTTGTAACGACGTTGCAACTAATTTGCATATTATGATATACGTCATACTTTTTGTATTATTCATAGTTGAATTAAAATTTATAAATATTTTAAATAGATTATTTGTTATAATTTTGTGGTTTTAATATAATTTTTATAATTATTTTTATTTTATACTATCTTAAAATTCTTGAAATTAGTAAAATTTAAAGATCCGTGAGACTTACGCCCCATGTCTCAGGGCTTACGCCTCGTTCGTCCGAGGTAAAACGCCTCACCTCACGCCCCCGCCTTTTAAAACATTGACTAAGACAAACTCAAACATTCGAAGCTTAAATTCCGAAACCGAAAGGCTGTGTTTCTTTGGCTTGGAGATAAAGTCATCTATATACTCCAATGGTCATTTACAAATAAAGTTAGCAAACATAATATATCTACGAAAAGTCTGCGAGCCGATGACTTACGGCGATATTTGTTGACTTTTAATTGTTTTATCTAAAACAATATATTCAACTGAAGTAATTAGAAGAATAGTGGATAAATGCTACTTCTACTGTGTTAATTTATGTGAAAATATTTACTTTTTGAGAGTCAATTTAATTTATTTTCGAGGTTAAATTAGATTGATGAATTCTATATTTTAAAATTAAAATTAAAATATTAAAAAATTATGCTAAATGTATCATAAATTATACTAATTCTTTTCATTACAATATAAGAAAAATAAGTTATCAAAATTCACTTAGTTTAAATCTCGAGAATTGAAAAATATCATATTTATTAAAACAGAGGGAGGACGGACTTTTCGGTTTATCTTTTTTTTTATAAAAAAAATCCAAATAATTGATCCGACTAACTATACATTCCCATTCGTTGTTATTTAGGTGGGAACGAGTCGTGACAATTTCGTAACAAACATGAGCTCAAATACTGGGAGCTAAAGATTGGAAAAATTAGAATAATGTATCAAAAACTGAAAAGACAATATACTGATGTGAACACAAATGGCGAAAATTTCAAACTCAAATGGATTTTGACCTAATCGATGGAAGGTGTGAGAACCACGAATTTTGTACTTTTCGGAAGTCTAATTACTCCCGTTTAACGCAAAAATGGATTTCTCGATCAAAGTCAATATCAAGAAGAAATCGGGTCCAAAATTACTTCACTTTCTTAGTAATTTGAAAAATAAGACAAATAATGAAAATAATTGACTGGGAAAAAAAACTCACAACAGATTGACAATCTCTCCCAGAATTGCGGTTAGAACCCTTTGAATAAAGTAAAAGAATAATTGAATATATTGATTGAAAAATCAGATACCATTACAAAATAAGGACTAGGCCCTTATATAAGAGTACATAATTATAACGTTTTCCTTACTTAATTCGGACTTGTTAATGATATTAATTGCCTCGATTACCTTGATTACCTGTTATCATATATAATTGTAACGGAAGCATTTATGACTGAAGATATCCCGTAACCACGATTAATGTCGATTTCCCTACCTTTTTATAACAAATTCATGCATCTTTAATTGTCTTTATCCATTCCCCTCCTATTTTTTCTTTTCTAGCTGTTAGGGCCGGTTCCTTTCCTAGAGAAACTCCGAGAGTTGAATTCGTTTAATTGAAAGTGCCACCTATCACCTTGATAGTAGTCCATGTGTCATGCCTTTTCTCGCCAATACAACTCCACCAACAGAAGACATGGAAGAAGTTGCTGCTAAAGTTGGTTTGATGAATCACTACCTTAGCACTTAACTTGATTTGCATGCTTAGCAGATATTAATTCCAAAATTTATGGTCGACTTTAGTGTAGTTAATTCAGGTCTTTGTAAATTGAGATCTTTTGCCACAATAATACCTGGAGATAGTGCCACGTCATCACCTTGAGAAGGTGCCACATCTTAGTGCGAGAGAATGCCACGTATAAGCATCAGAACCTTCCTACTATATTGTTGCCAAATATTGGCACCTTGTTGATTAATCATCACTTGTAGTTAGTACTATAATTTGTAGTCCCCCTGGTACTTGACTTCATTTAAACCCGATCATCCAGCGTTTATTCACCTGCAAAAGAAACCCCCCCCCCCTTTTTTTTAATGGATTTCTCAAGTCTTTTATTTGTTAGTGTTGGGATATATACTATTAATCATGGGTTTTGATTTAAATATAGTATCTATTATGGAATAATTGTTTATTCAATTTGTTAAAAACACACTCTAGGTTCACTATTAATGGAGTCGAAGAATTGAAGGAGAAGAAAAAACAGAGAAGGAAAGAAGGAGGAAGGTTCTGGAGAGATAAGATGGAACTGATTTTCCAATTGTATTAACATTGAATACACTGTACAACTATTATATACACATTACCAAATAATGTTTCCACTAACTACCCTTATGACAGCTAAGCAACTAATCTTCTAACTAATTATCTTTCTAGAAGAGTACAATATAAATAGCCAACTGTACAACTATGTATTTCTACACTCCCCCTCAAGTTGAGAATGAAAAATATTTTTCATTCCCAACTTGGAAAGTAATACTGAATGTTGGGGATGGCCTAAAGCCTTTGTCAAGATATCTGCAGGCTGTTCTTGACTGGATATATACGCAGTTCTTATCAGGCCTTCTTGTATTTGCTCCCTTATAAAGTGACAGTCAATCTCTATATGCTTTGTTCTCTCATGATGCATAGGGTTAGCTGCTATTTGGAGGGCTGCCTTGTTATCACAATACAACTCCATAGGCATCTTTACATTCACTTGCAACTCTAGCAATAGTCCTTTTAACCACATCAATTCTGCTACTGTATGTGCCATACTTCTATATTCAGCTTCTGCTGAACTTCTAGATATAGTACTATGTTTCTTTGCCTTCCAGGAAATAAGTGATGCCCCTAGCTTAACACAGAAACCAGTAACTGATTTCCTAGACATAGGGCATGAGGCCCAATCTGAATCACAGAAAGTTACAATTTCCTCTGCACCAGTGCTTGACATAAGGAGTCCAAGCCCAGGCTGATTCTTCACATACCTCACCACATGCAGAGCTGCTTCATAATGAGACCTTTTTGGCGCATGCATAAACTGGCTCAAACACTGTACTACATATGCAATGTCTGGTCTGGTTATTGTTAAGTACAACAACTTCCCAACTAGCCTCTGAAAAATGCTCTTATCTTCCAAAGACTCATCGGAACTTTCTGTCTTTATTAGCTTATAAAATTCTGCACTAGTTAGCTTTAGATGTTGTTCCATTGGAGTTTCTTTAGGCTTTGAACCTGAAAGTCCTGCTTCTGAGATCATTTCCAAGGTGTACTTTCTTTGTGACATTATGATGCCTTCATTTGATCTAGCAAACTCAATACCAAGAAAAAATCTTAGTTCTCCAAGACCTTTCAGCTTAAAGATTTTGTGCAGGGCATCTTTGACTGACTGTATCTCTGCCAAATCATTTCCTGTAACAAGCAAATCATCTACATATACAAGTATGAGTACAAAAGCATCATTAGTAGTTTTAGTGAATAATGAGTAGTCATGTTTGCTCTGTTTGAAACCAGATGTCAGTAGGGCTTGTGTTAGTTTTAAGTTCCATTGTCTAGAGGCTTGTTTCAACCCATATAGGGATTTGAGAAGTCTACAGACTTTGTTCTCCCCCTGGCTACCAAATCCCTGGGGCAGTGTCATATAGACCTCCTAAAAAAGATCACCATTCAGAAAGGCATTGTGGACATCCATCTGGAAAAGAGGCCAATGCTTAAGAGCTGCAATGGCTATGACAGTCCTCACAGTAGTCATCTTAGCTACTGGGGAAAAGGTGTCATGAAAATCAATGCCCTCTTGCTGGGTATATCCTTTTGCTACTAACCTTGCTTTGAACCTCTCAATAGATCCATTAGCATTATACTTAATTTTGTATACCCACTTACATCTAATGGGTACCTTCCCAGGTGGCAGGGTAACTACTTCCCAAGTGTTGTTCTGTTCTAGTGCTTCTATTTCAAGCTTCATTGCCTGAACCCACCTGTCATCTCTGATGGCTTGAGAGTAAGAAGAAGGCCCAATATCTGATGAAAAAGAAGCTAAGAAAGATTGAAAATGAGAAGGAAGATGAGAGTAAGACACAAACTGTTGAATTGGATAAAGAGAAGCAGAAGTAGAAGTAGAAGTAGAAGGCAAAGGGGGGTGAACATAGTCAGTTAACCAAATGGGAGGCCTGGATTGTCTGGTAGATTTCCTGAGCTGCAGAGATTGTGAGGATTGTCGATGTGGCAAAGAGAGGGAATCAGCAAGAAGGAATGGTGGTGCAGGAGCAGCAGGAGAAGGTGAAGATGGAGAATGTGAGGAGGCAGGTGGAGCAGGATTGGGAGAAGGAGAATGACATGGTGGATCAGGAGGGAAAGAAGAATCAGTAGGTAAACTAGAGGGATCAACAGCAAAAGATGGTGGATTAAGTGGATGCAAATCAGGAACAGGAAAAAGATTAGAAGTAGAACATTTAGGAGCAGAACCAGGACAGACAAGAAATTTGTTCCTGGGATGTTTGAAGGGGAAAATATCTTCCTTGAAGACTACATCCCGACTGACTAGGTATTTGTTGGTTTCAATGTCAAGGAGTTTGTAACCCTTCTGTGTGGGTGCATATCCCATAAACACAGCTGGAATGGATTTAGAAGTAAATTTATCATGGGAATCTGGCTTTGTGGCATAGCAAAGGCATCCCAAGGTTTTCATATGATCAAAGGTTGGTGGCTTTCCATGGAACATCTCATAAGGAGACTTTCCATTTAGGGTGGAACTGGGAAATCTATTGATAATATATGTTGCTGTAAGGATGCAGTCCCCCCAGCATCTCAAGGGAATATTTGCTTGAAACCTTAAAGCTCTAGCAACATCTAGAAGGTGTCTATGTTTTCTTTCTACAACTCCATTCTGTTGTGGAGTCTGAACACAACTACTCTGATGAATAATTCCCTTGGTTTTGAAGAGATTAGAACATAAGGTGTTAAAGAATTCATAATCATTGTCTGGTCTGAATGTTTTGATAGTAGTGGAAAATTGATTCTCTACTAGGTGAAGAAAATCAGTTAACACAACATATACATCACTTTTCAATCTCAAAAGAAATGTCCAAGTCATTCTGGTACTATCATCAACCAGAGTTAGAAAGTATCTATATCCATTATGAGTGTTTACTCTATATGGACCCCAGACATCCATATGAACAAGTTGAAATGAACTAGCAGACTTTGAATGACTGATAGGAAAAGGCAATCTTGTTTGTTTAGCTAATGGACATATAGGACAATTACAAGTAGAAGCTGGACTACTAGACAAATGTTTATTTATTGCAGTTTTTTTTTAGAACTGGAAGAGGAGCATGACCCAGTCTTTGGTGCCATAAAGCACTTGTGCTTTGCTGAACTGAAGTGGTCATGCACTTAGAAGAAGAGACAGCAGCATCTGTTGAAGGTCTAAGGATGTAGAGACCACCCTCAAGTTTACCAATCCCCTTCACCATGCCACTGAAGAGGTCCTGAAAGACACAGAAATCAGGATAAAAATGGACAGAACTATTCAGCTCTTTAGTATATCTGGAAATGGACAAAAGGTTATACTTGAATTGGGGAACATAGAGTACATCATGTAGTACATCAGAACTAGGCAAAGTACAAGTTCCTATGTGAGTAATTTTGGTATCGTTTCCATTAGGCAAGTGCACAGTTGCGGATCTAGGCTCAGAAATTTGATTAAAAGATGACAGTAGATTCAAGGATGAAACCATATAGTTAGAAGCACCAGAGTCAATAATCCAACTACATTGGTTATCAAGTGAGTTGCCTGCCATATTGGCTACATATGGAGGTTGGGTCTCCTTGCTTAACATCTTGAGAATTTGTTGGTATTGCTCAGTGGTGAATGGCTGGACAGTTGGTACTACAACTGGTATATTGTTTCCGTGTGCAGCATTTTGAAGAAACTCTGAAGTATGAACATTGTGTGCCATGTTTCCAGGTTGCTCATGTCCTCCTCTTCTCCTATTGTTGTTGAACTTGAATCCTGGAGGGTATCCTACCAGTTTGTAACATGATTCTCTCGAGTGTCCCTTCATGTGGCCGTAATCACACACAAGCCCGTTGTTTCTCCTAGGTCTCACATTCAAAGCATTTGCAACAGCTAAAGCACTACTCTCTACATTCAAAGGTGTGCTCCCTAAAATACCAGCCTGTGATGTGCCAACATTCACCCTTTGGCTTTCCTCTTGCACAATCATCGAGTAGGCCTGATCTAGAGTGGGTGTTGGGTGCATCATCAGAATTTGACTCCTTTGTGGTGCATATGTATCATTTAGACCCATTAGAAACTTCAAGAGTTTTTGTTGGTGAAGAAATGTCACAAAAAGTCTGGATCTTTCACAATCACAACCACGAAAAGGGATTATTGACTCAAATTCATCCCACAAGTCATTGAGTCTGGAAAAGTACACAGAAACACTCGAAATGCCTTGCGTCAGACATCTGATCTCCCTATTCATATGATAAATTTTAGTAGCATTTACTTTATCAAATCTCTCTTTCATAGCTTTCCATACTTTCTCTTCATTGGTTGAGTATGCAATTCCTCTTCTGAGTTCTGGTGCGACTGAACTCATAATCCATGATTGCACGATCGCATTACACCTATCCCACTGGTGTAATTTATAGGCATCCTTTTCAAATTGATCTCTAGTACATGATCCATCAACAAAACCTAATTTTTTTTACTAGCAATGACATTACCATAGATCTGCTCCACTCCGAGTAATTTTCAGTCCCTATCAACAGTTGAGGGACGAGTGAAATACCTGGTGTATCCGATGGATGAACATATAGTGGATCGTTGTAATCAACTTGATGAATAGCTGCATGTGAGGTTCCAGCTACATTCTCCGGCGTATCAATCGCCATTTCGAGGAAAGGAAAAATCGAAAGGAGATGAAAAGAAGGAGAGAATTTAGGGTTTAGAGAAAAATGAAATGAACGATGAATTTTCAAATTCCTAGAGCTCTGAATCGCAATCAACCATGCTCTGATACCATGTTAAAAACACACTCTAGGTTCGCCATTAATGGAGTCGAAGAATTGAAGGAGAAGAAAGAACAGAGAAGGAAAGAAGGAGGAAGGTTCTGGAGAGATAAGATGGAACTGATTTTCCAATTGTATTAACATTGAATACACTGTACAACTATTATATACACATTACCAAATAATGTTTCCACTAACTACCCTTATGACAGCTAAGCAACTAATCTTCTAACTAATTATCTTTCTAGAAGAGTACAATATAAATAGCCAACTGTACAACTATGTATTTCTACACAATTTTAATAAAGTTTTAAATATATCATATATTAGTATGTGTCCTTTGCTTATAGTAGATGATTTAGTGCATAGAGTTTAGCATATACATGGAAGATTAAATCATCGGTTCTTATAAGTATAAAATTTGGGTTCACAATCTAGTGATGGAATTGGACAAACCATCATGGATGATTGTAGCACAAGATTAAATATAATTTATCTTGATTATGGGAATTGTTTAATTCCAACTTCTTGTGCTAGTATATTTTTTATGTATTGGACGGACCAAGTAGAGATAAGTATTTTATACTAACTTAATAAAATAAGCTCTCTAGCCCTTAAATATACTTATACTCTTAATCTTGATATAATTATTATTAGCTGTGTACATAATTATTGTTTTGATTTATTAAAAGGTGAGATTCTTTCGTGGGTCAATATGCCTGGTAAATTGGATAATAATAATGTACATTAGCGAATTAATAGTTAGTTGATAAAATTCATGTCTCGGTTTAGAGATTGATGATACACCTTTATGAAAGCTTATAAGTTTTCATGTGTAAACCCGGCAGGTGAATTTTGTATCCGACACATGAAATATGTTAAGCGAAAGTCTAAATGAAATAATCATTAAATCGTCAGTAATTTAGTTTAATTGATTAGTATTTGAATCTTAACATGGGGAGTTAAATAAGATTTAATGGATGAATTTTGAAATTGAATAAGGAGTGCAATTACGAATTTTTAGTGGAATAATTCATAATTAATTATGGTGGATATTAATTTCAAAAATTAGAAATTAATCCCAAAATTGGAAGCCTTGTTTATTAAATTTTGTGGTCCCTGCTGTGCCTAAATAATAGGAAATAAGGAAATCCTTTTTATGGTGGAAAGGAAAACCTAACAGGTTTTGAAAAAGGGTTTCAACCCTTAAAACATGTACTATAAATACATAAGGTTTTCCTCCTAGAGGAATGTGTGATGGTGGCCGAAATTATCAGCCATATTTTCCTAGAAATTTCGCCCACACGAAATTGCTGTTTCCGGGTATTATTTGGATAACACAGTAGAAGACCGTGGAATGTTCGAGGATCACGATTGTGTGGGTGATGGAGATTCCATTGAGAAGTTATGGAACTGAAGGCTCACGTGATAGAAGAGATATGTTCACGCTTCAAGAGGTAACCTGTGAAACCCCGTATACACTAGTTGTCTAGATTACATGTGATTTTGATACTGGGATTGCTTCCGCTGCTTATTATAATCCATCAATTGTGTCACGACCCTAGTTCTCCAACCGTGAACATGTCATGACGGCACCTGGTCCCCATGACCAGGTAAGCCTAACATTTGCGGAAATATATTAATTGCGGAAAAATAGAGAAAATCAAATCAAATATCTAAAAGAAACTGTACTGAATGCCGCTTGGCAAGTACAACTCAATATCACAAGTCTAAAACAATTCCCAAAACCTGGAAACTCACGGGCATCACAGGCTACAGAAGTGTATAGTAAAGGTTCCAAACTCCAGAATTTCTAACAACTGAAAGAAGGAAAAACTAAGTACTAAAGATAGAATAAGAGGGAGACTCGTCGGTCTGCGGACGCAGCAGATCTACCTCGAAGTCTCCGTAGTCCTCCTGCCTCACTGATAGTGCGCCTGAGTAGAGGTACCCGGATGGTCTGCACATGAAAAACATGCGCAGGAAGGGCATGAGTACACCACAACGGTACTCAGTAAGTGCCAAGCCTAACCTCGGTTGGGTAGTGACGAGGAAGGTCAGGGCCATACTGAGACAAAATATAGTAACAACAATAATTAACAGTATGATAATCTGACAGAAATAATAAATACAGCAGTGATATAAGATAGATTAAGCAAGGCAATAACAAATACACAAGAACGGAACAACCACAGAATAAGTACAGCTCAACACCAATGGTAACAATGAGGATCTCCCAGGATACCGTCCTGTAGTCCTTTTCTCAACTGTCCAGTGGATCTCCCGGGATACCGTCCCGTAGTCCATCATATGTGTATATCCGAAGGATCTCCCGGGATACCGTCCCGTAGTCCAACTATCAATGTGCAGGGGGATCTATCGGGAATCTAACCCGCAGTCCCAAAGTAAACAAACAAGGGGGGGAGCTACCGGAATCCCACATCCGTAGTCCCAATGTAAATGCACAATCACAACCAGAAGGTACACGGAAACGAAGTACAAAAAGACAAGTAACAGATAGTACTGACCTAGCTTGCTTCACGTAGAACAGTTAAGGCAGCTTAAGCAATTAGGCAAGTTAAATCAACTAAACATTCTTTCCTAATTTAGCACAAGTTATAATGTCAAGTAGAAATAAGCAAATATGGAAGGAACTCAATCTCAATATCTTAAGAAAAATCGGGTTTTCCAACAATTGGCTCAAGTACACGCCCGTCACCTCACGTACAAGGCACTCAATCAACAAATAACAAATCCTAAGGGGAAAGGTCCACCACACAAGGTTAGACAAGCCACTTACCTCGAACCGGCTCAATATCAATAGAAACCACGCCTTTGCCACGAGTATCCGACTCCAATTCAATTACATATCGTAAATAATATTGCAAACAATTGATTCCACTATTAAATTTAGAGCTAGGGCGCGAAAATAGGTAAAATGACCAAAATTCCCCTCCAGCCATCGTCTCGGAATCGAATAATTTTTACGTTTTCAGAACCCTCGTACTCTCACGAGTCTAACCATATAAAAATCTCCCAAATCGGAGGTCAAATGACCCCTCAAAACCCCATAGTTAGGTCTAAGAAGTTTACCCACTTCCGATTCAAAAACACGAAATTAAAGGGTGAATTTGCGATAAGATTAATGGGTTTTAGTCATAGGAGAGTAGAGAATCGTTACCCGGTGATTTCCCTTGAAAAACCCTTGAAATTGCTCCCAAATCCGAGCTCCAAACCTTGAGTTTTGATAAAAATGGCAAAACCTCGTTTTTGAAATGTTAAGTACTGTTCAGGAGTCTAAAGCATCGCGAACGCGATAGGAAGCACGCGTTCGCGAAGAAGGAAAATATCAGGGCCCAAAAATGCCCTTCGCGATCACGAAGGGAGGAGCGCGAACGCGAAGGCCGGGGGATCAAGAACTACGCGAACGCGACAAGGCTTACGCGAACGCGATAGAGGAAATAGTGAAGCTACGCGGACGCGGGTGATCTTATGCGAACGCGAAGAGGAACGGGCCCCCCTCTCCAGACTTACACTACACGAACGCGGGAGAGTGGCCACGAACGCGATGAGAGGATGGCTAGTACTACGCGAACGCGGTGCCTTCTTCGCTAACGCGAAGAAGGAATTCAGACCTGCAACTTTCTGCAACATTTCCAAACTTCAAATTGCTCGGATGAGCATCCGAAACACACTCGAGGCCCCCGGGACCTCAACCAAGCCTACGGACATATCCCATAACATCATTCAAACTTGTACCAATCCTTAAACCACCTAAAACAACGCCGGAAACACGAATTAATCAAAGATTCAAGCCTAAGAACTTCAAATTCCAACAAAACACACTTTCGATCAAAAACCAAATCAAACCTCGCCCGAATGACCTGGAATTTTGCACACACATCCCAAATGACATGACGGAGCTAGTGCAACTTCCGGAATTCCAATCCGACCCTCGGATCAAAAATTCACTATCGGACCGGAAACTTCAAAAATTCAAACTTCGGCATTTCAGGCCTAAATGAGCTACGAGCCTCCAAAATACATTCCGAACACGCTCCCAACCCCGAAATCACCTAACGGAGCTAACGGAACCATCGGATTTCCATTCCGAGGTCTTTTTCACACTGTTCCGATTACGGACCATTTTTCAATTTTTAAGCTCTCATTTAGGGACTAAGTGTCCCAAAACACTCCGAATCCCAACACCGAACGTCCCGGCAAACCAAAATAGCAGAAATGAACTTAGGGGAAGCAGTTAATGGGGGATCGGGGCGTAAATTCCAAAAAACGACCGGCCGGGTCGTTACAAATTAGTATCAGATCTCACTCACATCTAATTAGATAACTAAGTTTTTCATGAAACAAGAATATCGTGTTTATGTGCGTTTTTGAATTACATGTTTATGTGATTTTCTGAAAAATTGTACTGCTGTTTTGTGAATTAACTGTGCAAATTGGATTATTTTTGTAATCGTGAGATATCTATTTTTTATTGATATTTTATTCGGATGATTTGGATATTTTTTTGGTAAACCCTAGAAAAATGCTAACCTGATTTTGACCGAATTGCCGGTATTTTTGGAGGTCAGCGAACTTGACGGACTCCGATTGAGCTCAAATTTGGTGGATCCATCGGAAACGACATGGTGAGAAAACCCACTGCTTTTGTAGTTAATCATGGTGTTTTTCGGCATTTTGAGGCTGTTTGGACTGTGTTTTGGACGTTTTTCTATTTTTTGAAAATTGTTTTTTTTAATAATTTTAATTCACTTTTAATTCAATGGTGGTGGGGGTAACTCCCCATGGTCTCCATGATTAAATACATGTGATATAATAGGTTTACACATTGGCTATTAGTAAATAGATGTGTTGTTGTATTA